TCTGCAAAGTATTATGCTTTGTGTAGTTTCTAATAGGGGAAAAGCATTGTGAATGCATATGAGAGTCCCTTGTATAGCCCTTTTTCTATATGACTGTTCCGTGATTTTTTCATTGTGTGGACAAGGTATGTAGAAGTAGCAGCTGTATCTATTGACATTCTCAATCTTTATTTTAAATCTTTTATCCAAGCTATGCAAGCATCCTAGAAATTTGGGGAGAAGAATTCTGTTTACGTGAGTTTGCATCAGTCATTTAAAATGCTGGCTTTGATTCACTCCGCTGTATTTGTACATCTGCGCTCTGTTCAGCAGTGAAGAAGAGTGTCATTCTTTCCTACATTCTTTCATTATTTTCTTGATTGGTATTTTATTTAAAGCTTCCAAACCAAAGTAATTCTTTGGGTAGAGATGCCTTCGCAGGACACATGGCTGCATTATCTATTTGCTTTTTAAAACTTTAAAAAAAACCCCAGCCTTGTGGTAGGCACACTGTTTTGCTTCTGTCTATTGTTGAATTATTCTTGGACAATAGATTTTGCGTTCAAGGATGCAGAGGAGGAGGAGGAGTGTGTCCTAGTGGTGTGTGTAACAGGGAGGAGATACAGTAAAAGCAGAGTCTGTTTGCAGGGGCACAAGCGCATGCAAGTGCGAGAGGTGGTGCTTTGCAAGGCATGAGCACTGATCAGTGAAAAGGTGAGGTCAGGCTGGGGGAGGACAGATTGTGGGGTTTCTCCAACTCATTATGGGCTAGAGTTTCAGAGGTCACGTAGATACCCAAAGATAAATACTTACGGGATTTTCAAAAGTACTTACTAAGGCTTCTCTTCTTTTGACGAAAGTAACAATAAAGTTGTGACGATTAATACACTCATCAAGAAGATGGTCTCGATGAACCTGGGAACAACACCCAGATTCTGGCTAAGCCTACTTGGTTTGCCGCCCTGTAATGTTAACCAGTAACATGTGACCGTATGCAGAACATTCAGCCGTGCTGTAAGATCATCCTTCAGCTCTGCCATTGTATTTGGCTAACTATATTAATCATCTCTAATAGAGGATACAGTTCTGTTTCTGTGTCCAAAGATTTTCTGCTGTTGGCATCCCTAACCCTTCTGCTACCCCACGTTTAGACATAATAGGTGGAACATAAATAAAAGCTAATTTTATCATGTAAGAAAATATTGGGTTTGCTTACTGTTTATAGTAGAGGCATTAAAGTGGTATATGGATGTGAAAAGATAGAAGGTTTTCTTTCGCAGGCAGCTTTGACATGAAAGATTCCTTTTCAGAAGTCTAATTTTAATTTCCTTTTGGGAAAAGAGAGAGAGAAAGCTTCACAGTATGCAGGCTGCAACTTCTTTTTTTATTTTTTTTTTCCTTTTTTTTTGGTTTAGAACATGGCAGGTGGGAGTCTCCATGCCTGCTTATAAATGCACAAGAATATGAATAATAATCCCATGTTAATGATGGTTGGTTGTGGCCTGAGATCTTGACCTTGCTTCTTTCCAAATTGTGGCGTTACGTAGACAGTATGGCCAGTTTCAGATGGAATATTATGAAATATATAACTTTCCACCTATTCCCAGAGAAATTAAAAGCTGTGCAATTTTATCATGCTTTTGTCTGTGGCAGAAGAGTGAAGCCAGAATGCAAAATGCATTACCTGCTTTCTGAGGGAAATAAGTTATCTAAGAATTAGTCTCGAGAAATATTCCTTCCTAGGAGAAACTTGGAAAGATCCGTGCTCATTTCTTGGTTTTACTCTCACAGTTTCCCTCCTGACTTTGTAGCTAACTCACCGTGGGCTGGATTACAGAAGGTTGCTTCGATACCTAAAGATGTATCCAGAAATGATGTACCTGTCTCACACTGTGAAATTAACTTCGTAAGGGAAGAACTGTAAAATGTGAAATCGGTCTTATTTTCCCATTTTTTCATCTATTAGCTTTTTCTCAAATTTGACTTGAAATCTAAACATTCGTGTTTATGTATTTTCCTTCCTACAAGAAAGACTACATTAAATTAGAGATTATGTCAGTATCTGCACTTTCTGAGGATAAGGATGACTTTGGCTGGAAGGAAAGCGTGTTTTAGATGTTTGTTCAGATGCTGTTCAATCTCACTTGGAAACAAGAAAAATACCAGTTGGAAGTTATTCTTGCTGGAGAAGACCACATGGCCCGTGCCTCTCATGTCCAGGAAATCTCAGTAGCTTTAGCTCCAGCTAGCTGTACCCTGACTCTTTCAGTATGTCTCCCTTCTGCTGTTCCATGGATCTGCATGTTACCGATAAAGACAGGGAGAAAAGAGCACCGCCGTGGTCCAGATTCCCTACCTTGAGGAAGAAAGAGCCACAACCAGCCCACACCACTGTACTTTTAGCAGCCGGCTGCTTTTCTTCCAGCGGATTGAGATGTGGACTCTGCAGCTTCGCTATCGGTCAGCATGCCACTGGGCTCTGCCAGGCGCTTCGCGAGTCGCAGACTGAGAGATCTGGCTCTGACCCAAAAAGGGCTTTCCCCAGCAAAACGTTCCTGTTCTCAGGGTTCCTGCCTGACTCTTGTAAGCTCCTGTCTGACCCGTCTGTCAATTCACGCTCTGTGCGTGGTCATTTAGATCTCACCTTGCCACCTCGTGTGTAAATTACCTCCGTAGATGAAACTCCCTACTGGTCATAAAAAATCAGCATGTTTTATATGGTGGAAGCTGCTCTAATGCAGCAAATTATTTTAAGAGCCATTGAAAATACGGACTTTAGATCAAGTATACTCTCTAAAAGATTCACTGTCTCATTTGTGATTAGTGAAGTAGAGAGCGATGCAGTTGTGCTTAAGCTTTACTTTAAAAGAGTTGTAAATGCAAACTCAGTCTTACTTTCCATGATAATATCCTGGAAATCATTTGGATTCCCACTCAACTCTTAAAAAAACCCCAACAACTGTGTATTCTTTGCCAAAAGTAAGTCTCAGCTAACCACTGCTTCTAACCCAGTACGAAATACCTTCCTAAACGTGCCTTGTCTCCTCTTCTTTCTGTATCTCTCATCACATTATGTTCAGGGCAGAGTCAGTTTTAGTTATTTACTATTCAGTCTTTCTTTTGCTCTAGACCTTCTAAGAAACTGGAACAAGAAAAAAAAAATTACCACTTCTTCACAAGAGAAGTCTTTGGCAGTGTTGACTGTATACCCCCAATGAAGGGGTATTTGTGCTGAGAAAAAAATTATGAAGTTTAAGAATGTTCCCATGTTGTTACTGAAATCTCTTCTGGTAACTGAGGTTCCCACTTGTGCCCTAATTTTTGTAGAGTTTCTGCTTGCTGGTGTCCCACTGCTGCTTCATGTCACAGGTTAAGTTAAAGTTTATTCCACTTCTCAGCTGAAGTCCGCAGTTCCTTGTTTGCCTTTAGAGAAATAGTAAGTTTGTGAGAAGTTTCTCCGCAGTCAAATCATTCACTTCAGGAAGAGAAATCTTTAACAAATACAGTGAAATATTTTGGGAGTGACCATACTGCTTGGAATGAATAGCCATTAGAAAATATAAATACATGCCAATATGATGTCTGAAATACTGCTGAAAGCACGTTATTCAGATTTGCTCCAACCCCAGTGGCCCCAGTCCTCGTGTATAACACTTTTCTCTGGAGTCTGGTGAGTGCAGATTATAATCCAATGATTATACTCCAGTGTACTTCCTATAATCTTCTCTGGGTAATAAAGTAAAATTCCTGCCCTGGGCACTTGTATAGCTGTAACCATCCAGCTGTGTTTACCCTCTGAAAGACTCAAACCAAATTTGCACTGAAAACCTCTAACAGAGATACTGGAGGTGTGCGGGTGATGAAGCCAACCCTGCAACCCTCCATGTACGGAGGGTTGGTGAGCCCATAAAGCCTTTGTTGCTCAAACTACATTGCACAATAAAGAAAATGCGTATATTTGATATACGTACAGCTGAGTATCCATGCAGACTTGCTTTTTTTGATTCCTAGAAAGAATAACTTGTGAGTTTAAATATTGTTTAGGTATCTAGTGCTCTGCTTTTAGATAAGGTAACCTTGAACGAATACAATTTCAGAATAAAAGGGAAGGCCTTTGGCAACCTTGCTGCTCAGATGTACCTGAGACATGTTTGCCTACCTCAGCGTGCAAAGGTGATTTCCCAGTTCTGGAGCCACCTGGCAGTACCCTGTACCCCCTACAACTCAGCGCAAGCTGGAGCTGATCTTAAGTTACTCAAATTTATAACCCCCCGCTCTCCTGCCCCCAGTGGAGTTCAGTGATGAATGCTGTGGCCATCTGGTTTGTGTGGGTGCGTGTCTATTTTCTTTTAACCACCAAAGTCAGTGGCTGAGGGTTCACAGTCCACAAATTTCCGCACAGTTCTGATCAGAGGCTCTGCAACATCTCATTTTGAAACTCTTGAACTAATATGTTGGTATTTAATTCAGTTTTCCTTGCTATTTCTGAGAATACCACATCATTTTAGAGGCTGAGATAGTTGTCACGTGTGTGGGAGTTTATTGACTTCTTTTTCCTTGGTCTGTGTTTCTCATGGTGGCTTTATTTTATTTTAATGGAAGTTTCATTTTCTCACTGTTTTTTATGTTTATTTTTATGTTTGTTTGAGTTCATTCAATCATATGCTACTAATAGAAGAGAATTTGTAACATTTATATGTAATGTTGTTAGTTCTATCAGCAGAGGGAGAAGTGAAGCAGGAAAAAACACTTCTTTTTTTTTTGTTCTGAACATTTCCTTAAGTAGCATTTGTTCTGCTTGCTTCTGCAAAAGCAGCATTATATTACCTGTGTATTTGTCACTGTTTTGTTTCTCTCCAGGTAATTCTTTGTAATATTGTTTACGTATGTACTGTCAAATAACCTCAAAATGGCTTAAGATGGTTGTTTTACATTCATAGTTTTGTAAAATGGTACATTAAAATGCAGGGGAAATTTTTGGAATTGTTTTAACTAAATCTATGGTTTTTATTTCCCTAAAGTTTCAGACCCAGAGCTTACGTCTCTCTGACCTACACAGAAAATCTCAGCTATGGAGAGGGATAGTTAGTGTCACCTTAATAGAAGGTCGTGAACTCAAGGCGATGGATGCAAATGGACTAAGTGATCCTTACGTGAAGTTCCGGTTGGGGCATCAGAAGTATAAGAGCAAGGTAATTTTAGCCGTGACCTAAAATGTGCATTGGCTGTGTTTGAAAAGTTTTGTTCCTGTTTGGGTTTTTTCGGCTTGCATGACTATTTAAATAGCGACGGAGATTTACTGTTGTATTAATTAGCTGTCAGAGCACCTGGAGTTTTGTTTGGATGTTTCTTTTTATTTCATTATAAACAAAAATAATACTAGCTGGGGAAAAATGTAGCACTGAAAAATGCAGGGTGGCAGGGAGGCACACCTGATTTTCCATACAGACCATGTTGGCTTTTATTTCCTGTTACGGGTCATTCACGGCCGGGGAGAGATGCAGAGTGATTCTGACAAGTAGATGCCACCTTTGTGCCTTTCTGGCTTGATGCCGGTAGCCTCTTGCATCCTTTGTATGGTCTTATCCTTGAACCACATCATGCTTATATTCTCACTTTCCTCATTGTGTCCTTACAGCAAGCTTCATTGAAGTTTTGTGTATGTATGCGCTTAACAGGTAGAAGGGATTAATCGGGGAGAAAGTGGAGACTTGCTTGGCTTTCTTGCTATTATTTTTTATTTCCCTGATCCCTGTTGGTTTGAAAATTGCTGTTTATGGAAGATGCTGTGCCTGCCAACGACACACATGACCTTCCTCTCTCAATGGCCGTGACAGCCCATGTGGTTTTCACAGCCAGACGAAGGGCAAAGTGAGGAGGAGGCCAGGAGCCTTTCGGTGCCACATTTTCAGACCTCTGAGCCCACCTTAGGGCCTCTTAATCTGAAATTAGAAGAAATCAAATTTCATGCTTTTGTGACTTAAAAATTTTCATGGCATTTCTGCATTTTAATCCTCTCTGATTTTTCCATTTTTTCAAGCCAGTGGAACTGGTGGATGTAGAAAGTAGCGATTGCTTCATAGGGAAGGTACTAGGCAGTTTCCATTCTTGCTCAAGTACACGGACTGAAGTCCATTGAAGTTACTTCTTTTGTCAGAAGTAACTGGACTAAAATTAATTGAGAAAGCTGCTTTCATCTGAGTTGCAAAGGAAAGGAAGTAAAATACAGTTTTGAAAATAAAAAATAGTATTCCTTAAAAAGTAAACTGTGGTATCATCTTTCTCCCAATATTACTGCAGCTGGGGAAAGAAAACATGATAGAATTGTTTCTGTTTAAATACTTACAGTCACCATCTACTTGTCATTGCAGGTGCTTTGTTTTCCTTTAGGCTCAGACACATAACTTTGCAGGTAAATGCCGCTCAGGAGAGGGCATAATTATTCTCAGAAAAATGGATCCATTCCTAGGGTAAATCCTTTGTTCAGGAGGCTTTTGAAAGTGACAGGTTGCAGGATTTTGGAGGTTGCTGTTGTGTCAGAGGCATGAGAGAACTGGCCGGTAGTCTTCTCCAATTACTGTTTTTTAATTCTCACTGCTTAAAATACTCATGCTGCAAATAGAAGATCAACTTCCTGAACAGACTCTAAAGATCAAATTTTCAATTCAAGGAAGTGTATGCCTGCACAATGCAGTATGACTTTCTTTTTGCTCTCCTTTCAGATTGTGCCAAAAACTTTGAATCCTCAGTGGAGGGAGCAGTTTGACTTTCATCTCTATGAAGAACGAGGTGGAATTATTGATATTACCGTGTGGGACAAAGATGCTGGGGCAAAAAAGATTATTTTATTGGCAGGTTTGTGCAATTACAGCCTTCTTGTTCCCTGGGGATGAGAGGAGATGATTAAAATGAGCCTTGCCATTGAAACTATTTCTTATGACTGTTTGTTCTTGCTTTTTTTTTTTTTTAGAGGTAGGGGAGGATTTTTTACGAAGTGTCAGTACAGTTCACTGCATTGATGCAATTCTTTACTTTGATGGTGTAAAATAATTTTTATTGACCAGTAGGTGGCAGCTTCTACCAATTGATAGACTTAGGTTTTCCAAAATAAAAATCCCACATTTAGAGCGATAATCAAGATGCAGGAAGTTCCGTACGGCAACGTCTGGCCTGGAGGAAAAATAACTCTCCTGACTCATAATAGGCACATAACACCAAAATTATGTCCTTATTTTTGGTAAATGTTCGGTAAATGAAATGAAAGTCTTGAGGGACTACACACAGCTTTTGGGGCAAAGAAATAAGATCATTCACCTAATTCGTTTTCAGGAAAAGTGAATCTTTGGCACCTGTCTTAGAGTTCAAGAAATGGTATAAATGTGTGGTTATGCTTCTTGTTACTGCGTAGGAAGAAGAAAGATGCTAATGTTTTTTAACAATGGCATTAACTGTTAGCTAGTAGGGGAAAAAACTGTCTTGTGCTTACAGATACTGTACAAAGTCGGTGCTATTTTGAAAGCTCAGGTATTTGTTTACATCATACTTCAATTGATAGACATACGTTCGTAATAATAGTGATTATTATTAATCCTATATATTTGGATTGTTTGTTAGAATATTGGTTGTAGGTGCTTTCACTAGGACATTGATACCATTAACTAGAATTGCTTTTTTTGGTGGTTGAAATCAGGAATGGAAATCCAACAGACTGAGCCATGTACTTTTGATGTCAACATGGTTATGTTTCTACTAACTTTTTCCACCTCTCATTCCATTGAGGGTAATGGCTTTCTTTATCAAATCAGATCAGTTGGATAATATTCTGAATTTATTTCCTACGATATATTGTGGGAACTCAGAATACATACACAGTCTGTGGCAAGCATACAGCTTTAATACCGGACAAAACCACTTTTCAAAAGCGTACACAGTAGGATTTTATTTTAGATGATGAAACCCTATGCATGGGGTGATATGTTTATATTTGAAGTTTACATTGTTTGTTTTCCCTTGCTTAATTTCAGTTGGTGCGTATGGTAACAATAACTATTTTTCTGAAGTAACAATTATTTAGTCCTATGTCAACACATGACACACCTTGGGAAATTATTCCTATTTTCTGCTTAATGTTAACCTTCTTATCCAAAAGACGGTGAGATGCAGAGTTTTCACGTGTGATTTTTCAGAACGCTGTCATGAAAGCAGCACTTTACGTTGTTACTGTTACCAGTAATTATAAAGTCTTTTTAAGAGCATTGCATAAAATAAAAGACACCATTTTTGCTCCAAGGCACTTGAAACCTAAGTAAGAATGTGATAGAGAAATTAGAGAAGGAAAATTTGTAACTTCAGACACATGAGCTGCTTAGGTAGCTTTTCAGATACCTAAAAAAGTTGTACGTCTTAAGTGTGCATCTGTTTCTTCTTAGTAACTGCATGCTATTATGCAAGTAACAAATGATTTCCACATTTTATTTAGGCCAAAAAAATTCGGTAGGATGAGAAGTCTTCTCTCTAAGAAGAATGCTTGAAGTCTTTAGCATTTTTCAGTGGGAGAACCTTGTTTTGTTTTCTATCATTTTCCTAAATAGAGGTAATTCCTGTGTATACCAAAAAAGATGCTCCTTTGACAAAGCTAATCTGTAGTGCTTCTGCAGTATATAACTGATTTTAAGAAAATCAGTGGTATTTTTCCCGAAATCTTGCTGCTCTTGTTTTTTGTGACCTCTCTGCTGTCGGTGTATGTATAATCCTTCTTCAGTTTGTCCTTTCAGACGCTCTCATTTCACCTTCTGTTCATACCTTATCTCTGGATAATGCAACCTGCAAACAAATCCCTCTCCATGAAGGTTTCCATGAAAAACTTTGTCATTTGTCAAGCTCAATCTGAATACAAAAATAGGTCTTAATATTCCCCCTCCCTGATACTCTTTTCCAGTCACTGTGGATAAAAATCACTGACACCTGACAGCTCCACTTTACATCCACCTCTCTTCCCCAGTTTCTCCTTTCGAGGCTGCCTCTAAAAGCTGTAAATACTTTGGTACGGACACTATGGACTTGCTTGTATGTGTGCTCTGGATAATGCAACCTGCAAACAAATCCCTCTCCATGAAGGTTTCCATGAAAAACTTTGTCATTTGTCAAGCTCAATCTGAATACAAAAATAGGTCTTAATATTCCCCCTCCCTGATACTCTTTTCCAGTCACTGTGGATAAAAATCACTGACACCTGACAGCTCCACTTTACATCCACCTCTCTTCCCCAGTTTCTCCTTTCGAGGCTGCCTCTAAAAGCTGTAAATACTTTGGTACGGACACTATGGACTTGCTCTGTATGTGTGTGTGTGTGTGTGTGTTATGGTAAATGTATATTAATTTTGTAAAGCATGACTGAGTCGTGCTCCATGACTAAGGCTCTGTGGCTCTCAAGGCACATGTAATAAATTGAGTGTTTTGATTCAGGTTCCAGGAAAAGTGATAATGAGGTTGTGGGAGGGAAACAAAAGACTTTCCTGGTAGTATTCTAGCATTGCTCTGTGATGGAGAGTAATCCCTTTCATCTTATTGTGATCTTCCCACTTTCTTGAGTAATGCTCAAGCAGCAGCTGTTTTATTATATAGGAATATTTTTATTAAATGTAAATGAAAACAAGCATTTCTTGAAGATGTGCTCCCTGGCCAAAGTATGGTTAGGGAGAAGCCACGCTTGGTTGAAGAGATCCTTCTCACTGAGGGAAACAGCAGACCAAATTGAGAAAACAGAAGAAACAGTTTGTTTAAGGAGCAGTTCTCACCTCTCATCCACAGTGTTGGGGATTTTTTGTGTCCTCCATATTCATCTGCTTGCAGAGCACACGTCAAGGTCAGCAGAATTTCCCGTGCAAAACAGGGGTAATCGAGCTGCTTTGCCAGGGGATCTCTTTGAAGAGTGCCTTGGTTCACGGTTTCCAAAAACTGGTTCATGGTTTCCAAACTGAGCTGGCTGTGGGAGAGGTCCCTCCTGGAAAACAGCATGGGAAGCCCCCTTGGGTTGAAGTATTCTTTCTGTGCTGAACTCTGTAACTTGCAAATTTTATTCCAAAACAGAATGTTGTAACTTCTCCTGGAATGATACTCTGTCTCAGCTACACTTCAGTAAAATAAAAGAAGTTGGAAATCAGGAACATAGACTTCTGTGGGCCCTTTGTGTATCGTCATACTCAGTAGGCTGCAGCATGTTAAGGGCCAGGATGAAGTGGGGAATGTGACAAGGTGGCTGTGGCATGCCTGGAGGGCTTGGGTTTGCGATCCTTTTTTGAGGGCAGGAAGATGAAGGAAAGATGTTCAAGAAGGTTCTTGAACAAGAGATTCTGGCTTTGGGGCAGCATGACAGGAGGAGGATGGAGTAGAAGGGGTGGCTTGTAAGAGGGAGGAAGGTATTAAGAGGGTAAGAGTGACAGCATGGCATCCTAATTCAGAGAAGGAGAAAGATATGTCTGCCACAGAACTAGTGTAAAGCTCCGGTTTCTTCTTGGTACCCAGGCATGTTCAGCATGGCGGTTCCTGAAATCAGATGCTGGCTGATTGATTTCCATTCTTAACTTTGAGCGTTATGTGTTTCTAAAATTCATTTGAGTTTCAATTGTGTGCATTCTCCATGACGGTTTAAAGAATGTAGTACCTTGTGAACCTCCATCTTAGAATACCCTAAACAAACGAAATCCTAGAACCATTTCAATGTTTCTTTTGGGATTTCAAAAGCCTGGAAAAAGACCTCATACAAAAGCTTTGAGGAGAATATATTTCCAGTCATATGCTGATTTGTATGAGGAAACACTGGGCTTTACCAGAACTGAGTTCTGGCCATGCAGGAGATTAAACGCTGGCATTCTTCTGAATATCATTTAAAAAAAAAAATATTCCAGGACCAAAGATGTGAGGTCTAGAAGTTCTTTTTTTGGAAAGCACCAGCAGCTAAAGCCATAGGAGCAGCCTTCTTGCATTCAAATAAGCATGTGGACTTGCCTGAGCAGTATTAGTCATTGCTTCATCTGATAAGTAGAAATACATGTGTATATTGTTCAGTTTGAGTATATTTAATATTCACGTTTTTGCTATGAGTAAATCATTTCTCTACCGTATTGAGTCAATATACTCCTGTGATTAAAAACATATACTGCAGTAAGTTTATGTAGGTAACACTAAGTTCAAAATGAAGGTGAAAAGATTTTAATCTTCATGTAATTATTTAACTTTCTTATCATCTGCGTTTTTGAAGGCGATCCTGACTGTCACCTTTACGATAATCAGCTAATAAATCCTCATGATTGTTACACCTTTATGCATAGCAGTAATCTGAACAAATTGGCTGCTGACAGCTGCAATAAATTGCCAAGAATGAGTGCTGTCAGAGAACAAGTTGTTTCTGTGAACATACAGAATAAGTAAATCCCATGTCATGCAGTTTTATTCAGCTGAAGTTATTTGCAATCCAGTACAGCAGGATTTATAGTGTTATTTATTGGTATGAAAAATGCATGTTTATCTTTAAAATGACATTGACTTTTACTCATATTTTGTGTCAAGAAATTACTGTTGACTTCATCTATATCTATTTTCATCAGTATTTATAGATGCTACTATCTTTTTCCCATCTGATGCAAATTAAGAACAAAAGACCTTGTGTATAGTATATTCATTAAAGCTATGTATTAATTTTTTTTCTGTAGAAAACTGAAACGTCCCAAAATCTCTCTGAATATTGTCATGAAAATTCAAATCGATGTTCTCTGTGTGTGTGTGTGTATGGGTACGCACCATATAATGGATGTTATGAAATACACAAATTAAAATATTGAAAGTTAAGTATTTAG